AGAAAAATACAAAGGTGCTGTGTGTGTGTGTGTGTGTGTGTGTGTGTGTGTGTGTGTGTGTGTGTGTGTTTTCCATACTGGCCACCTCTAAGCACCAAAGTAATTTTCTTCAGGCAATGTTAGGGCCAGGTAGACCGTGATATCCCTGGCTAGACACTGTGAGCCTGCATACAAGTTCATGTGTTCCTATGTCCTTGACTGAGAGTGGTCAGTACAGGGGTGAGTGATCAGCCACTTTTCTCATTGTTGTAACAAAACACCTTACCAATGCAACTTCAGGAAGAAAGGGCTTGTTTTGGTTCACCGTTCAAGGAGATATATTCCATAATGTCAGAGAAGGCATGGCAGCTGGAGCAAAAGGCAGCTGGTCACTTTGCCACACCCAGTAACCTACTTCCGCCTCCTAGAGGTTCCATAACTTTCCCAACCAGCACCACCAACTAGTGACTAAGTGTTTGAGCACACAGCTCACAGAGAACATGTCACACTCAAACCACAACAGTGAGAAACACTCACAGGCTTCTTTGGCCACCTCCTTGGTGCAGCCTTTTGCCAAGACAACAGCGGAGGAAGGCTAATCTGCCATCAGCAAGGAGGCAGAGCATCCCACACTGTCAAATCACGTATGATCTACAGAATCTAGCTTGGGTTTCCTCTAGCACAAATGTCAGTGGAAAAATCTCAGTTCCGTTTTCAGGAAACCTAGTCATTTGTCATGAGCACAATGCGTGATCAAGAAAGACATCTCCTTCCGCCCTCCAGCACCACATAATTCATCTCCCGGAACAGCTGCAGACCCTCCAGCCCTATCTGTGGGAAGCCGGGCATGTGATGCAGCCGCTACTGGTCTTCAGGTGACCCCACAGATCAGCCTTTCTCAGAATGAGGACCTGGAAGCTGGAGGCTGCTGCGCCTTGGGAAGTTACCTGCGAGCCTGAGGTCAGATCAGCAGAAACCAGTACAGAGGCCAACAGACCTTCTCAGGAAACTTCATATCTACAGGGAGACGCATTCAGAGGAGTCAGTCTGTGGATCTTGCAGTGATGGAAGTGAGGAAAGCAAAGCGAGGACAGAGAGAAGGAAGAGCAGCCCAACCACTGCCTATCAGACTCTTACAAACAGCCCTCCATTGCGATGTACACAACTTTTGAGCTAGAAGGAAGCTTGGGGAAAACTTACTACAAATTTTGTTCTGCATGTCAGCGAAGATGGGAAGTGACCTCACTGCTCACCGAACATCTTGGTGGAAAGCCTGGGAGTACAAATAGGGACTTCTGCCCTGCACGCACAGTCAAAACCCTCATTCTCCACCCAGAGGCTGGTGCAACTCCTCATGAAGCATCAACTGTGTGCAAGACTTTGCACTAAGAGCATGTGGATCACAGATGACAAACGGATCATCCCACAGGAAATACTTGATATAAATTGTGGGGAAAAGCATGTCTAACCAGGCACCATGCTTTGTCTTCGGCTGGAAACAAGAACCTGAGACTTGAAGGGTTTGCCAGATAAAACGTAGACAGAGGGAGTCCCAGGGAAGAAAGGCCACAGTCTCCCTTCCACTTCTCAGCCCATGCCTTTTCTAAGCAGAGCTTTGCTCCAAACAAATCAGAAACATTTCTGGTTCTTATACACTCCTTCCACGCAGGCCCGCATCATCAAATCAGGTCCCTCCCCTAGGGTCTCAGCCTCCTCCAAACTCCCTGATGAACGGGGACCAGGTGTGCTGTGGATTCCTTCTATTCCAAAATTCCAGACCCCATTCCTGCTCCTGACCCAGACCTGAGCTCATCACAGACTTCAAGCAAAAATGAAAGAATGAATTAGTGAGGAACCCCACAAGACAGATGGCAAGAACTCTGGTGTCTCTATGCATCTCTTACCAGGCCAGAGTGTCCTCATGAATCCTGAGCATAGCCCCTGATCCCAGGAGGGAAGGTAGTCTTTCTACAATAGCTTTTTCAACATAGTTTCTATTCAGCTGTCAAAAATAAAAATGGCATTACTAAAACTCTCCTCCTCCTTACTAAAACTCTCCTAGCAAAGACCTTGGATTTTGGCCTTTTCTTGTGAGGAAAGAAGGGCTGGGGGCGGGGATGGCTCAGTGGGGAAAGCACTTGTCATGCAAGCACAATAAATTCAAATTCTGAGTTCAAATCCCCAGAGTCTATAGAAATCTGGGTTTCACATAGTAGAACATAGCTATAATCTCAGCACTTCTACAGTGAGATGGAAAGCAGAGGCAGGAGAATAGCCAGAAGCTGGTGGGACAGACATATGCAGCATGAACAACAGAGACCCTGGCTTAAACACAGTGGAAAGTCCCCTGCCACTGCCAACCTGGGTGCTCCCAGCCCAGATCATAAACTATCTGGGACTCTGGTGACAATTGCTCCAAGCATATTAAGCAACCAATCCCAGTGCTCAGCTTCCAGGCCTTTCCACTTCTGAGAAGGATCAAATGTACCTATTTTGTCCACTTGTCTTTCTGAAATCAGCTACTGAGTGGGCTAGAAGAAACAAGGGCAGAAAATAAATATCTTAGACACCAAGTGGCCTTGTCAGAGCCTCTGATGAAAGCTATGACCTGCGTACTGACTGAAGGGCAGAGCGATCTCAGGCTAGAGACAAGACTCGGCAGCCAAGTGTTTTCTGTGCAAGCACAAGGACCTGAGTTCAGATCCCCCACACCTACATAAAATGCCTAGCATCAGCCCAGTGCTGGAGGTGCCTGGGGGACATTGGTGGGGTTTACTGGCCAGCTAGTCTGGATGAATTGGTGAGATCCAAGTTCAGTGAGAGACTCTATCTCAAAAAAGAAAAAAACAAGGTGAGGAGTGACTAAAGATACTGACCTCTAGTCTCATCACATATACACAAGCATGTTTCACATGCTGTGAAATCAAGGTTCTGAGAGAAATTGTATTTTCAACCGAACCTTCACATGGCTGATTGACTATTAGAACCTCAATGACTATGGAGTGATTGGCAGAACTATGCTGCCGTTCCTGAGCCTACTTACAATTTATCTTGGGCTATCCTTACTCACCAATAGAGCTATTACTTGCCTACCTCTATCTCAGGAGATTGGACCTAATATACTGTGACTAACACACAAAAACCTTCTCTACAGTACTAACTTAGCAGAACTCTAAGGCTAAGAATACCGTGAGGTAACATCCAGGGCCTGTAGGAGAGGTTGCTCTGCCTTGCTTCAACACACCTACTTCATGTTTCCGCCAATGTATTTGAAAAGGGTGTGACTTCCTTTGTTCTATTACTATTTCCTTTGTTCTATTACTATATAAATTTCATCAATCTGTTGCACTTTGGAACATGGAACTTGGTTTAACATCAATCTGTTCAAGGCCACAGCCCCTCACGTCTGACTTACGAATGAAACTCCTGAAAAGATTAGAACTGCCATTCTGTGGACAGGTTGGAATGTTGCAAGCCCAGAGGCTAGTTACCTAATCCTGAGCTAGTTCTAGCCCTCAGAACAGTCATTCCTTGTCCACCTCTGTGTCTAACTAACATCCTGTGACTAATAGATAAAAACCTTGTGGAATCTATTCGCTTAGCAGACAACTAACTCAAAAGCTCAGATAGCATCTTGACCCCTATATCAAAGTTTCCCCCATCTCGCTTTACCAGCCTCACTGGTGTATGCACAAATTTATTTTAAACTTGCCTTGATTTATGACTTTCTTTGTTCTGTAGAATCTACAAAAACTTCATGAACCTGCTTCCATGTTGGATCATGGAATCCGGGGTAACCTCAAAGCCATAGTCACTCAACTGGCTCCAGAATAAACTCTCTCATTTCCTTTAAGATGAGAGCTGTGGTTTTTGAGTTGACAGGCCCCAGAATAATTTGTCTCTTATCCCCTTTGAGGTGAAAGTTGTGGCTTTTGCATAGACACACACATACATCAGACACACACACACACACACACACACACACACACACACACAATGAAAACATTTAAAAAAAATAACTGTGTATTAGCCACTGATGGGGAACCAATCAAACAAGTTTAGAGGCTTGTGTGTGAGGAATTGCTGAGAAGATGGAAGTTTAAAAACCAAGACAGAGTGCAATACCTAGGAGCAGAGGCGTGACTCCTTGAAGTCTGTTTTGTTTCCTGGGGAAATTGCAGAGTTGGTTCCTGTCCAGTTGGAACTGCAGAGCGCTGAAGGTTAGCAGAACACTTGTTTTCTCTACCAGACAGTCTCCATGGAAGGATTCCTGGGCCCTCTTAGAGGGACAGGAAAAATACACAGTCTACAGCCGTGGATGGTGTCATTAGAGTCACTAGAGTCAGAGCCTGGGCCCTGGAAGCTCTGACAAGTCAAGCTCAGCCACCCATCCTCAATAAGAGTGGTTTGAATGAGAAATCACAGAGAGAGAGAGAGAGAGAGAGAGAGAGAGAGAGAGAGAGAGAGAGAGACTCATGTGCTTGAACCCAGTGTTTGCGAAAGTGGTGAAGCCTTGCAAGAGAAAGTACATCACTAGGGGTGAGCTTGGAGAATTCACTGTCTCTCCATACTTCCAGTCTGCTCTCTCTGCTTCATGCTTAATGATTGACTTCCTGCTTCTGTCTCCATGTCTGCTGCCTGCTGCCTGCTGCCTGCTGCCTGCTCGCTGCTGTGTGCTGCCTGCTGT